GCTTATTAGTTGATTGACCCTTTCTCTTCAGTTATGGGCAATCATATTTGAAATGCCCCCGGCTTTTTGCATTCATAGCAAATGATCGGGTCCTTCTCTTTTGGTTCATTTTTAAGGCCTTCATTTCGTTTGAATTTTCTTCCTCGGTAAGGTCTCATAATTTTTCTGAACCGTTTAGCAAACAATGCCATTTCCTCGTCATCGTCATCTTCATCCGAATCATTCTCATCTTTTGTGGATTTGAGAGCAACTCCAATGTTTTTCTTCTTTTCATTCTCCTTTGGTGTCTCTTAAATCTTATCAAGGTCCACCTCATCTTCAAGCATTATTTTATGAGTGAGGAATGAACCGATTAGCTCTTCAAGAGTTAAGGACGTTAGATCCTTAGACTCGATGATTGTCGTCTTCTTTGATTGCCACGATTTTGGGAGGGAGTAGACTAACTTCCTCACAAGCTTTTCATTTGAAATGATCTCTCCATATGATTTGAGACCATTGACAATCGTTGAGAATCTATCCGTTATAGCTTTGATATCTTCATTTGGTTTCATCTTGAAATTTTCATAGCTATGCGTTAGAATACTAATTTTAGATTTCTTTACCTCATCGGTACCTTCATGAGTGACTTGAAGTTTGTCCCATATTTCTTTGATGGTTGTACAAGATGAAACTCTTTCGTATTCATCTGGTCCAAGAGCACAAAATATGATATGAATGGCTTTGGAGTTGAGCTGGAACATTTTTGTCTCTCCTTCACTCCATAATCTTGGATGAGTGAAGTATCATTCTTCTACGACATTCCATGCTCGCATGTCACTTGCTTGAATGAAGTACATCATCCTATTTTTCCAATAGGCATAATTAGCCCCATTGAATAAAGGAGGCTTGTTAACGGGCATCGAATTGAGACCGGAGTCGAAGTTTGAAGTAGAGGCCATTGATGACTTTGATTATCGATGTAACTATTCCCGAATCGACTCAAGAGACGATTAAACCTTCAAATGAGTTAGGCTCTAATGCCAATTGTTGAGTTAATCGATTGATGGAATCGGCCAAGAGGGGGTGAATTGGCAATAAAAATTTTGGTGGAAGCTTTTGCAGAAAATTGAAAGAAATTGCACAGCGATTTAGAGTGGTTCGACTTTCTCAACCAAAGTCTACATCCAATACCTTAGCTATCCACACTAAGGATTTTCCACAAATTCACTAATTTGTCTTTCTTTTGAGGACAAAGAGTAACCTTATAAACCTCAAGAATTATACCCCAAATTCTCGAGAAGACTCTCTCCCAAAGAGAACAATACAAATTTGCAAACTTACAAGGAAATCCTCACAAGGTAGATTGTTTGCACAATTCTAGAACAAAGAAAAGAACACTAAAAAATGAATACAATTGAGTACAATAAGTGTTCTTGAAAGCAAAATGAATATTGAATGAAAAATAGGCTTGAAATGCTCAAACTTGAGGTTTGATGTTTTCTCTTTGATTCTCTCTTGATTCTAGTTGCTTGATGTTTCTTGTTATTGATCAATGGCTTCTAAGCTTGCTTAAATACACCTTGAATCACTTCTGAACGTTGGGGATCATTAATGAAGATAATATAGCCGTTTTAGTGTGAAATCAATTAATAAAACAGTTTGGAGCGTGGGGGAATCGGTACCCCTTGAGGGGAATCAGTTTCCTAAGTGTAAAATTCAAATATTTCGACCGTTGAACAGTGGGGGGGAATCGGTACCCCCTTGGGGGAATCGGTTCCCTCCGAGCATACTGGAATTCTCGGAGCCAAACCATTCAGGGGGAATCGGTACCCCATTAGGGGGGAATCGGTTCCCTCTGAGCAATATGGAATTTTTTGCTTTTGAAACGGTTCGAAATACTTTGTAAATTATTTTGAAATTGTTTTAAGATTAAAACTTAATTTTAAACTTGAGTAAGGATTAAAAATGACTTTTGAAAGATTTAGAGTAATGTTTTGATATTAGAATAATTATATCGGATATACTTAGAAAAACTTTTTGGAAAATCTTAAAATTCATTTAACTTAATTTGTTATATGAAATATCAAAAATGTTTTCAACACCTTTGGTGACTAAGAAGCTGGTTGAGAATGACTGTCAATGCCTTATTGAAAAGATAAGAGCCAAGCTAAATCTGTGGGTTAACAGACATATGAGTTTTGCTGGCAGGTTGTAATTGGTGCGCATTGTACTATTTAGCATCGCAAATTATTGGTGCAGACATGTCATGTTTCCTCTAGTGGTGATCAAAAGAATCGAGCAACTTTGCTCTCGATCTTCTGGAAAAGTGCTGACGTATCCGCGAAGGGAGCCCAAGTCAGTTGGAACATATTTGTCTATTAAAATCTGAAGGAGGCCTGGGTGTTTTTGATCTAGGTGGGTGAATAAGGCATGCTTTTCGAAACTGGTTAAAAGCTTATTGGCAGATGATGGATCCCTATGGGTGGCTTGGATCCACTCCTACGTGATAAAGAATGCTACTTTTTGGCAGATGAGTGCACTTTTGAATGCTAGTTGGAGCTTTAAATGCTTACTTAAAATGAGACATGATATATCTCATTTAGTTGCTAGTCTAGGCAATGAACCTAGCACGAGACAGATCTGGGAAAGCATGCGGACCACAGCGGCGAAGGTTTTGTGGCACCAGTTGGTGTGGTTCCCTGGGCGCATTCCTAAACACAACATTATCCTTTGGATGATTGTCTTGGACATGCTCCCCACTCATGTCAGACTTACGCGGATGGGATTAGCTATAGAGAATGATAAATGCTTACTCTGTAGTATTAAACCTGAAACTCGAGACCATATTTTCTTCGAGTGTGGGTTGGCTAAGGCTTTATGGGGAGCTATTCTTTCTCTCTGTGGTGTAAATCGCAATGTGAGTAGCTAGAATGGCGAGCTGGCATGGGCTATCCACTGTTTTAAAGGAAAATCACTCATTATGCGAGTGTTGAAGCTTGCTCTGGCAGGATATGCCTATAGCATCTAGAAAGAAAGGAATAACAGACTGTTTGGAAGGAAAGCAAGGTTGATGAGAGATATCCTGGAGGATATTAGAGATATCATCAGGATTCGGTTGAACGGCTGGTCTATTGACAGAGCGAACTCGAGGAATGATGCCCTTTGTGTTAGCTGGGGCATTCCATCCGTATAACTGTTCCATTTTTTTGTTTTATGGACTGTGTTAGTTTAGCTATGGCTAGTCTGTTACTAATGTTTGTTGCTAATGTATTGAATTGTTCCTTGTAGCAGTTTTCTGCTTTCTTGGGTAATGAAATGGATTATCCAAAAAAAAAGATAATGAATTTCAAATCAATTTTTTTAAATTCAGTAACGATTTGTTTAAATTTAAATAAAACATCGTTATATATATTAAATAGTATTTCATGCCAATAATAAATAATTAAATTAAACCAGTGTAAATTGCGGTCTTCTCATGATATGTATTAGATGTACAAGGCTTCATATTTAAAAAAATAAAGAAGAAAAAGTAACTCTCTTATTATTATTATTATTGTTTAAAAATCAAAATTAATAAAAGAAAGATTTTAATTTCTAATTAGGGAGAAAGAAAAATAGAAAAATAATTATAAGATAGCATATTCACGAGCTTTGTCTGATTATTTTTTCTTTCGACGTGGCTTTATCATTCTTAACCCCATATTTTTCTTTCTCTTTGAACTATTGTCATCATATGGTGGTGACGATGGTGATATTAATGTGAGTGCTCCTCGTACCATTCTTTCCATTAGTTCAACTTTGAAATTTTTTAACTCTTAATCAATATATATTTTAAACATTTTTGACCATTTGATAATGAAAGTTGAAACACTCTTACAATTTCTGGTGTTCATACATAAAATCTTTAGAAATAACGACTATTCTTTAACTACTAAGATAACTTGATTCGTGCATCTCTTAACAATTTTAAATGTAATAATTTATTTTTTTATTTATCAAATAATTAATTAACTTGAAAGATCTCTATTAATCCAAAACAATTTTTAAAAAAAAATCAAATTTTGTTTAAATATCAAAGATATCGTATGGATATTGATTTTACCGTATGGAAACGTAACTGTTTTTTTAGTTTATACAATCAATCACAAAATACCATTTTGATGTGGACATCGATTTGTATATGTCACATTACAAGTACATTTTATTCTATTTTCATATTTCACTTTATTTTCGTCAATTTCCAATACGTCTTCTCAACATCATTTGTGTCCCATTTCTCCCTCCATAATTTTATCTAAATTAACACATGTTCGGAAATTATGGTGTTGAGAAGTATTTTTACTATATAATTTTAAATATTTTATGCATATTTCAACTTTACTCGGTTCAAAAATTTTAAACAACGTGAATGTATTGTGATATATATGTATGTACGTATATTAGAGATGAAAAACTGATAGACTCCAACGCATTGATGACTAGTTTGGTTATTGTCCTTTCGTGTCACTTAAACCAACCGCGTAGCAAAGAGCCAAAGACTAGATTACCTCGTCCGTTTATGGTGAGGAAAAAAATAAATAAAATTTGAAATCATCGAATGAAAGCCCAGAGAAGGGCAATGGCTTTCCCTCCTCTTCTCCATTGGACGGCGAAACTAATAATCTTGTACTAAAAAGACTGGGAATAAAATAAAAATAGAGGACCAAAAATACTGTATCAAAATGACTTAAACTGTTGCTCGAGTTTATTTCGATTAAAACGCCTTAGACTCTTAGTAATGTTGACAACCAGGTTCGACCACAATTAGGTAAATTGGCCAATCAATTGCACAGAACAAAGGAATTGTATGCTCAGCCCCTTTTTCATGAGATGATGGGGATAACCAATGGCCGTATTTGCAAGTCAGCATAAAAAAGTAGTTGACATACTCGGACTTTGAAATATGGTAAAAGTTAGTAAACAATAAGCAGAAACATCCAATCTTTCCAAATTGGTTTAAGTTTCATGGCAACAAGAATATATAGAAAGAAAACACCAAATTGTAAAACAAAAATAAGACACCAACAACCCATGAACTAACGGGAAAAAAACAGAGCAAACAAGTAGGTTATGAAGGTCCGGTCCACGAAATAATGCAAACAAAGAAACAGACACCAAACCGATAGCTAGTAACATAGAAACATAGATGTCCTATTGATATAAATAGAAATCTTAGCAAACTTATCTGCCCTGAATCCTGGTCCCTTTTTTTAACCCATTTTTGGATCTTGGTTATGAATGAGGAGATCCTTACTTGGCCATCATGACTTTGACAAACTCCTCATAGTTGATCTGCCCATCACCGTCAACATCAGCTTCACGGATCATCTCATCGACTTCCTCGTCCGTAAGCTTCTCACCGAGATTTGTCATGACATGGCGAAGCTCGGCAGCAGATATGAAACCATTCTGGTCCTTGTCAAAAACCCTGAAAGCCTCTTTTAGCTCTTCCTCTGAATCAGTGTCCTTCATCTTCCTAGCCATCAGGTTAAGGAATTCGGGAAAATCAATGGTCCCGTTTCCATCAGCATCAACTTCATTAATCATATCCTGAAGTTCTGCCTCAGTAGGATTCTGACCAAGTGATCGCATCACAGTACCCAGCTCCTTGGTAGTAATGCAGCCTGCACCAAGGATACATATAAATGCAATAAGTATGTGTACGATATTTGTTGAGAAACAATCAACACCAGTAAATACAGCTGGCCAGAAAAAAAAGGCAAACACTAAACGTAATCTATAAGATGAAAAATAAGACACCATAATACTTTAACTTAAAATATATCTGATTATTTTCAAACTTTTTTAACACCATAAATGTCTGCCAAAATACTTCACAAAGTCAAACACATAGTCAAATAAGAACAATTGATTAGATAGTTAAACACTTTTGGATGTACCAAAACAAAGATATGAATAGCTTGGGCAGCACTGCTATAGCAAAACTAATTGAGCGACAACAATCTAGTGTCTGATAAGTTTCAAATGTACAAGCGTCAGCAATCAAATGTCTGATACCCATGGCTCATGTAATTGCGCAAAATAGAAAGAAATAAGGATCCAAACATGTATTCTGGTCATCAGCTACCCGGTTTTGTTCAAGCAAAAGCACCAAACATAATATTTCATGTTTAGCATTACACATCACAAAATTAACAAACCACACAAGCCACAAGTGTCTAACTCTCGGGGATATGTCAACTTCACGAACATTTAGATTCTGAATATATAACTATCATGCATAGTTACTTCAAACGTAAAAGCTGATTTCAAGGATGAAACAATTACGTCAATGATTTCATTACCAACAGACATATATAAAAGAACACTAATGATCCCATGTTTTAATATAGGTAGAAAATGAAGGTTCAATGAAAGTGATCTAAAAATTAAGGAAGCTTCGCTAATCATATTAAAAATTCACACAACGAAAATGCAAAACAAAATTAAGATTAAACAAAAAAAATCAAATCAACAAAACGACAATCTTAATCTTAGACAAAAATCATACAGGAGTAACAGGAAATCACTGAATAAAATGATGATCTAGGCAGGCCATGTTTGAACATAACAATATCTAATTCTTAACAGATCAAATCATTGAAATCAATGAGCCGACTGCTAAAGGTCAACTAATAAAGAAGATAAGAAAAAAGAACGAAGTGACATTCGAAGCTATAAAAATTCAAGAGTAAAAACAATCAATGAAATGAAATGAAAAATAAGATGAAGCGTGTTCATAAATTCATAAATCAGAGCCCTAGATCCGTCACATTATTCAAATTACAAAAAGAAAACTAAAGCTAAAGCTAAGCATAAAAAACTAAAGCGACAGTTAGATCTGCGAACCAGGGCTGAATTGAAGTTATTAAACCATAGTTAAAAAACTAAAAACATGAAGAAAATAAAGAGAGAGATGAGAGAAAGGACCATCGCCATCCTTGTCAAAGAGGCTAAAGGCCTCCTTGAACTCAGAGATCTGATCGTCCGTAAGCTGATCGGCCATGGTCTTCGCTCTTTAAGAGTTTTTAGTTTCTCGAAATGACGGCGTTTGAGGTGCGAGGTTGAAATCCTTAAATGAAGAAAAATATTAATGGTGGATGAAGGGAAAATATATATAAAGGGCCCAACACAAATTAAGGTATCTGATTCTCTCTCATCAGCACGCATTTTCTCGGGGGTTTTTTTCATTTTTAAATTCTATTAAACAAGATATTTCCTTTGAAAACCAAGAGATCATAATATTAAGGCGTTTACTTTACCATGAAATATCATGATAGTGATTGTTTTAAAATTACAAATTAATTTATTTTAGTAATTTTAAAAATAATTATTACTCTTAGAAATTTTAAATTCAAGCATCATATTATAAAGATGTTTAAACTTTCATTATTAAATGATAAATTTTTTTATAACAGATTAATAAAATAATTGTTTTAGAATTTTAATCTTATATTTAGTTTATATTTACCTCTAATAGGCCCAAAATAATATTGATAAAAGTAGCGCTCTTTCGTTAATATTTTAGGAATTTTTTTATTATAAAAAATTAATTTTAATTTTAAATATTTAAATTGAACTCATTTGATGATAAACTTTAAATTACACAATTTTTTGATTGATTAATTATTTTTTAAAAATAATTTTATAAATTATTTAGATTTCAATTTTTTTAATAAAACAAGTAAACTTTTATCCTAGTTTTTTCTTTTGATTTTACTTGCGGTGATCAGTCTATGTACAGTCGTCTAACGTCAGGGTTTACTGGCTTAAATTATTTTTCTGCTTTTTGGCATAAAAGGTAGGAAAAGAATGACAAGGGTCAAATCAGCTAGAAATATTTAACCTGTCAGGCTTTTTCATCATAAATTTGAAACGACACTCAATATTAACTTCCCAGAAAGCTTAGTTTCTAGTAGTTGGCCATGATCGCATTCTTAACGTATGCTACAAGCATTGCGACCAATAAAACAGCCAAAACAAAGTTCATTACTTTCCCTGGATTCTTAATTCCCTTGGCTAAACCCCCAACAACTCGTTTTTTAGCAGCATATGGGACAGAATCAGAAGGCTTTTCACTTCTTGGACTATTCTTTTGCTCTTGGTCCGAACTATTTTTGTCCTTCTCCATCAGCCTATGATCAGATTCATTAGGTGCACTGCTTTTGCTGTTATTTTTTATTTCCTTTTGTTTACCTGGTGTTTGCTCTGAAACTTTGTCAGCCTCCTTGCCGTTGTGATGACCTTTTTGAATTGCCTGTTCTACACCATTGTTTTGTTTCTCTGGCACATCTGCAGCCCTTCGAATCGGGTATTCGGCCGATGGTTTTGCTTTTTCTGGCTTCTCGTCGGCTGGGGCGATCCGTTTTGGGAACTTAACATGAAGCATATTACCCTTGTAATTTGCTCTGATCTTGTTCTGGTCACAATTTGATGGAATGGGGACTTCTTTGGAGAAACTGCTGAATTTGTTGTCACCAATTGGTCTTTCTCCAGATATCCTCAAGTTCCCCCTTCTTGTTACTTAAACTTTAAGTTGATCCTTCCTAAACCCTGTTGCATGAATCACATGCATGGATCAACTGAATCCATTATTTTTCATCTAACATATAAAAAATCATGAATATTAGGATCAAGAACGAACCTGATAAATGTGCAATTAAAGTGTCGTCTGCAGTTTCATGAATCCATTCAGTGCGGACCTCGAAATCTTCATAAACAGGCTTGAGCTTCAAATCCATGGCTTTTGTTCAAAATCTCTTGATTAATACGTTGAGGGTGAATTATGAGACTTGCTGTTTAATTGTTGGTTTTATATACAGAGAACAGAAACATACCGGAAGAAGAACTGTTGGGTTTTTTCTGTTTTCTTTGAAGAAATTTATTCTTTGTTCTCTTGACTTTGTTAACTGGTTAAGGGTTTCACATATGCTTTGGCATCGAATAGTTTGTCACCTTATGCAAAAGGCAAAGTTCAGCTTCTTTGCCGGATCCGAAAGGCGCGTTGTGGGCCATTTCGAGGGATTAAACAATAGAAACGAATATAAGAGGAATGTTTAATAAACTACTGTAGCTTTAATTAGGCATGTGTTCCTTCAATGGTAAAGAAAGAAGATATATTAACAAAGATACCATACCACAAGGAATATTTAACGATGTTACTTAATATTTGACAAATATATTTATAAATATATAATAACATATTTATAAGAGAAAATAACCTCAGTGGCCGAAAATGCTTTATAATATACGATTTTAACCAACGCGAACTCCAATTTCGCAACCCAGTTTCCAAATTCGCAACGCGAATCTGTAAATCGCAACGCAAATCTGTAAATCGCAACAAAGAAGTCAAATTCGCAATGCGGAATTTCAAATTCGCAACTGAATTTCAAATTCGCAATTAGATTTTCGAATTCGCAACACGAATTTAATTTCGCAACAGGTTTTAGTTTCGCAACACATATGTTTTGGGTATATAATAACGTAACAGCAGCAACTCATAACATAAATCCCTAAATCGCAACTCATTCCATCTCCATATATCACTCTCTCCGACGACATCCGTTCCTATATCCAATGACATCCTTCCCCATCTCTAATTTTTTTTTACATAATTTTATTTCTATATAATTTTCAATGATTTCTCTCCCAAATTATCAACTATCAACTTAATAAAGGTATGTTTTTTCTCTAAGTTAGTGATGATATCTAGTTTATAGCTCGTTTGTTTAGTAAATTAATTTACAATTTGTAGAATGAAATCATCTAATGTTGATCATGTTTGGATAGATTTATGTTTTGGAGGGTCATGGAGAATATTCATGGTGTTTTACAATATGTGCCTTTACCCATGAATCTTCAACTAAAACTGTCATTAAAAAAGTTAACTTATGAAACTCTAATGTTACGTGCTGCAAAGAAATTGAATTTAGAGCCTCTAAGTGGATTTAGGCTATCTTATCAGAGAAAATGTAAAGTTTATTTGTTAACCGACAATGAAGATGTTGAACGATTCATTGCTTACATTAGTGTTTCGCAAGAAGATGATGTTACATTGTATGTTGTTGAACCTAGAAGAAGTGAAGTTGGGTCAGTAGCGGCAAGTAATCAATTAAGTTCTTCAACCCCAGTTTATGGTGCTCACAATGTACAACGTTGTTATCAACCTTAAATTTTAATAGTTCCACCACAATTTCATCACCAAGAAAATTTTGTTTCACCACATTTCCAATACCAAACACAATATCAAACACGATCTCAAAACCCACAACCTTTTCCTAATCCAAATCCCAATCAACTTTCAGAACCAAATTTTAGTTTTCGTATTGACCAGTTAGACGATTATGAGCCAACAGAAAAAATTGTGAGTACTAGTCAGTATTCAAAATTTGATCTTGGTCAATACCCGAACTTTGATCTTTGTCAATACTCGATTTTGATGATGTGATGGAAGAAGAAACAGACCCTACATGTAATGATTTTGATATTGGTCAATACCCGAATTTTGATGATGAAACAGTCGCTGTCGAGGAAGATGTTGTTGATGATAATGAGGAGAAAGTTACGACTGTGAATGAATATGTTGAACATCCATTATGTAATTCATATAACCCTGAAGAATAAAAAGAAGAAGAAGAAGTCCTCGAAGAAAAGGAAAAGAAGAAAATGTCACGGGAGTATAACTGGAATATGTCAGAATTACTACAGATACCGGAAGAAGAGTTGGTAAAGATAGCAGTTGATTGTTACACAAAAGTTATTCGTATCAAGAAAGATGATTGTTTTGATACAAAGGAATACTTGAAGATAGCTTTGTATATAAAATGTGGAAGATGGCTATCAACTAAAAGTTAACAAATCAAGCAAAGATCGTTTCGAAACAAAGTGTATGATTGACAAAAACTGTATGTGGCGTACGATTTCAAAGAGGATAAAAGATTACAAAATGTTTCAAGTTAGGACTTTTATTGATAAACATATATGTTCAAGAACCCAAGTTTTTCCTCACCATAGACAGGCAAACAAAAAGGTGTTGGGTGGTTTTCTGGCTGAGTTAATGTTTTTGAATGGAATGGTATATCAGGGACATAAAATTATGACTGACATGAATGCTCGGTTCAAGATTAGTATCTCATATTCTCAAGCTTGGAGAGCCAAATGTTATGCCTTGGAATTGTTGAGGGGGTCGCTAGAAGTATCGTTTTCCCAACTGACGGCTTATTGTCACAATTTAAAGCTGAAAATCCTGGGTCGGTAACTCATATCAAAATAGATAGAGATGGACGCTTTGAGTTGCTATTTATCGCCATTGGTGCTACGGTTAGTAAATAATTATAATTTCGTTGACTAATTTTTGTTAGTTGCATACATTTCACATTTAAATGATTATATTTCTTGTGTATATGATTTTGTAGATTCGTTCGTTTATTACTTGCATGCGCCCAGTTATTATAGTTGACGGAGCACATTTGAAAGGTCGATACCTTGGAGTAAACTTATTAGCAGTAGCCATGAATGCTAACAATGGGATACTATCAATAGCTTACAGGGTTGGCAAATCTGAAACCTGATTCATGGACATAGTTTATGGGGCATTTTAGGGATTGTATAGGTCCTATTAGCAATCTGACAATCATATCTGATAGGGCAAACTCAATTGACAACGTTGTTAGAAGGTGTTTCCTAGATGCTTTTCATGGACTTTGTGGTGTTCATTTGTACATAAATCTAAAATCAAGGTCTGCTGGTATAAAAAATCACAAATGGACATACTGGAAGGCTGTAAAAGCTTATCGGGAAGTGGATTTTAATAAGTATATAAATTGTTTAAGACGTGTTTTGCCTCAATGTGCTCAAACACTAGAAGATGCCGGGTTTGAAAGATGGTCAAGAGTACATCAACTTGGAGCAAGATATGGTTTCATGACGTCTAATAGTGCAGAATCAATCAACGCTCTAAGTCGTCATTCCCGGAAATTACCCATTACTATGTTAATGGAGTTTTTTCGAGCCTCTATTCAACAGTGGTACTACAAGAAAAGAACCCATGCAAGTATTATTTCTTTAAATTCGTAACTTATCATATA